GCCACAACAGTGAGAGGCCCGAGTACTGCCAAAAAAAAGAAAAAAAAAAAAAGAAAACCAACCTAAATGAAGTCTACCAAATATCCACTACATCCCGAAGCAGGGTCACTTAAAGATGATTAACTAATAAATAAATATGTGAAAATTTCTTACCTTTTCCACAGACGATGAGGAGGTAGAGGTGGGGGAATAAATTCTCTTAACAAGTTCACATCCTAAGGGTGTCTGAGTGTCTGATTTTTTTTTCTTCCCCTGACATTTTAAAGACAGCCCTTAAAGTGAGAGCGGAAAGAGGAAACATAACTGTGACAAAAAAGGAAAAGTCTGTTAAGAAGGAATTTTTTTGCCTAATAATATAAAACTTTGGAGAATTTAGAGCTCAAAGCATCCACTGTTAATGACGGCAGGTTGATGGCCTAAGAGGAGGGGAAATTTTAGGTCAGGGACATTTGGGGCGAAACTGAGGCTGTGCTTGAGCATCGTAAGATAAGGCAGACAAAGAAAAGATTGCAACAGGAGGAATGGCCCTCTGAGATGGCCCTGGCCCCGTCTGCCCCCTTCCCTCCCCTGAGCTGACCTCAGAGGACCAGAAGCAAGCGTGCTTTGTTTTTTGTCTTCCAATCACCTGCCCTTATGTTTAGGCAGCAGACAGACCAGACTAATAAACACAGCTCTGCCCCCAGTCACACATATGGTATTAAGAATATTCTAGTTCTTCCTTGGTGGTTTTCTACTGCCTTTCTGACCCCTAATGATCCTTTCTAGAACCTACCACAGTGGCTGTGCACAAAGTAGATGTTCAATACTTGTTTGATGAATTGATTCAAGTTTGGAGAAGAATTTGGGGGGAAAGAGTAAAAAATGAGGGGTGTTTCATTACTTCACTCTCTCTGGGGTCCTGTCCCTCTCAGCGAGAGCCTCGGATGAAAGGGCTCAGGCCGCGCCCACCAATGACTTTCTGTTGGTTCCCAGAGTCTCCGGTTGCGTCAGAGCCCCAGTGGAGCAGGTGCCATTTTTTTCTGAACTCTCCTTGCATGAATAACAATAACAGTTGAGTGGCAGTCACATGCTTAGAAGCAGATCATTCTGATTTTGACTTCCAGAGCAGAGCTGTTTCCCCTGAGGTCCCAGCAGAAAAAGTCAGGGCTCTCTTGGTTGCAGCAACACCATTTTAAAAAATTAATTAATTAATTAATTAATTTTTGGCTGCATTGGGTCTTCGATGCTGCACGCAGCTTTCTCAAGTTGTGGCGAGCGGGGGCTACTCTTCGTTGCGGTGCACGGGCTTCTCATTGCGGTGGCTTCTCTCTCTCTTTTTTTTAAAATAAATTTATTTATTAATTTTTCAATTTTTGGCTCTTTTGGGTCTTCGTTGCTGCGTGCGGGCTTTCTCTAGCTGGGGCGAGTGGGAGCTACTTTTCATTGCGGTGCGCGGGCTTCTCATTGCGGTGGCTTCTCTTGTTGCGGAGCACAGGCTCTAGGCACACGGGCTGCAGCAGTTGTGGCACGCAGGCTCAGTAGTTGTGGCTCGCGGGCTCTAGAGCGCAGGCTCAGCCATTGCGACGCACAGGCTTAGCTGCTCTGAGGCATGTGGGATCTTCCTGGACCAGGTATCAAACCCGTGTCCCCTGCATTGGCAGGCAGATTCTTAACCACTGTGCCACCAGGGAAGGCCTACCATTTTGTTTTGGTGACAGGAAGTCCTGTGGTTTTTCTCACCAACTTCCCTGAGGATGCCATCTTTCAGCTACACACACGTAGATTATTTCTGCTTTGCATCCATCCAATCTAGGGCTGCCAAGAGGTTCAAGACTTTTTTCTCTGCTTCCTACTTTCCCCCAACCCCCAAGTTCTTACCCCAATGCCAGAAGCTGGAACCAGTCTCTGGGACAAAACAGAAATAATGTGGGAATTGTGGGTAGGGTTGAACACATACATCAGTCTAGGAACAGGCATAAAAGCAAAGCCCTTGTTATTACAGGAGGGCAGTGGGAAATTATTTCTTATCCATCATGGGTGGTGGTAGTGATTAAGCATAAGCTATTTGTTTAAGTCTTTTATTTTATTTATTTATTTATTTATTTTGGCCACACCACATGGCATGTGGGATCTTAGTTCCCCGACCAGGGATGGAACCTGTATCCCCTGCAATGGAAACTTGCAGTCTTAACCACTGGACCACCAGGGAAGTCCCTCGATATTTTAAATATTGTTTTGTGAAGGTAGATTATTTAATGGGAACTATCAACAGCTGTACTAAAGGGGCCACATGGAGGCTGTCCAAGGAAAGCAATATAATAATAACAGGCAATTAATTACATCTGGTATAATATTTAAAAACATATCCAAAGGACAATGAGAATGAATTCACTTTTTTTTTTTTTTTTTTTTTGGCTGTGCCGCTCCACTTGTGGGATCCTTGTTCTCTGACCAGGGATTGAACACAGGCTCTCGGCAGTGAAGCTGCTGAGTCCTAACCGCTGGACCGCCAGGGAATTCCCAGAATGAATTCACTTAAAAAACTTATTTTAATTTTATTTTTTATTGAGGTATAGTTGATGTACATTATTATATGTTTCAGGTGTACAACATAGTGATTCACAATTTTTAGTGGTTCTACTCCATTTATAGTTATTATAAAATATTGGCTATATTTCCTGTGCTCTAAATATATCCTTGTAAGAATGAACTCACTTTTTAAAAAATTTTTTTATTGGAGTATAGTTGATTTACAATGTTGTGTTAGTTTCAGGTGTACAGCAAAGAGAATCAATTATACATATATATATATATATATATCTGCTCTTTTGTAGATTCTTTTCTCATCTAGGCCATTAAAAAGTATTGAGTAGAGTTCCCTGTGCTATACAGTAGGTCCTTATTAGTTATCAATTTTATAGTAGTGTGTATATGTCAATCCCAATCTCCCAATTTATCCCTCCCCGCCACGAACTCACTTTTGAACTGCATTTGGTCCAGTGTCTTTCATAGGGAGAGAGAGGAGCATTCCACATGCATCTGTGTTTGGGTTGTCAATTTATCAGTATCTATGCATTTGCTGTTTTCCTCTGGTTTCAAAAAAAAAAAAAAACCCTTGGTATTACAGAATATATGTGTATTGCATAAAAAAACTTTGACTTCTGAAAACGTGTACTTAATGGCATATGCAAATAAAATTTAGTCAGTTTTGCTGTTAATATTTACTATTGAGATGTCTGTTCAATAATTCCCAAATAATTCAAAGAGTTCTTTTCTTTTTTTTTTTTTTTTTTTTTTGCGTTACGTGGGCCTCTCACTGCTGTGGCCTCTCCCGTTGCGGAGCACAGGCTCCGGACGCGCAGGCTCCGCGGCCATGGCTCAGCGGCCATGGCTCAGCGGCCATGGCTCACGGGCCCAGCTGCTCCGCAGCATGTGGGATCCTCCCGGACCGGGGCACGAACCCGTGTCCCCTGCATCGGCAGGCGGACTCTCAACCACTGCGCCACCAGGGAAGCCCCAAAGAGTTCTTATAGTACTGCTACCACTACTACATGTTATGGTTCTATAGCACTTTTTCCCACAGAGCTTTTAAAACAAAACAAACTCCACGTTTTTTTTTCCCATCCAGTTAAATATTGGAGGAAAGCAGAGCATTAATTTATATATATTTTGAAAGGCAAAGAAGCACAAAGAAAAGAATTCAATGGAATAAGCCCCAGGTATCGTAACTCCAAGCTGGCAAGTTGAGCTCACTGAATCAAGGGCAGGATTTTCCATCCCATTCATGGGGGGAAAGGAGGAAGAGAAAGGGGGAGTGGGAAGAATGCGGAGGGTACGGTACTAATTCCTTAGGAACGTGGAAACATGGAGCTCTTGCAAGCAGTGAGAGCTACTGCTCTGGGGTTTTCTCCCTCTGCTATTCTTTAGTCCACGGTGAGATGTTGGAGGAACAGACTTCAAAGGTGCAGCAGTGTAATGTAGCCTGAAGCCAGAAGCAAAAGGGTCTGATTTCATCCCTTTTGATTAGACAGCCACTCACTTGGGGGTGCCTCTGTTTCCTCATTCATCACGCAGAGCCGTGTGCTGTGGGAAAATCCTCACCTCTGTCACATAGGAAAATGGGGCCTGAAGCAGAAGCTGGGAGACCTGAGCTTATGGACTTTGGGTTCACAGCACCGCTGATATTTGGGGGAACAAGTTCTGAGAGGACTGAGGGTATTAGCATCGGAAAATCGGGGGTTGAGACGTGGTTTTCACAAGAGAGGAGCCAGGTGGCTCTCTGGGGTCTCAGACTGAGGAGATCTACGCTTGACAGACTTTACGGTGACCATTGTCTCAGCTTTGGGATTATAGCAACTGCCATTTGTAGTGTGTTTACTATGAGTCAGGCTCCTTGTACAGTTATCTCATTTGATCATCACCTAAACCTAGTTAGAGCAACATTATCCCAGTTTACAGATGAGAAAACTAAGCCCCAAGAGATTAATTTGCCCAAGGTCACTCAGATAGTGGAAGTATCAGTTTCTTCGTCTGTAAAATGAGTTAATGACAGAACTAGATTCCATCGCCTGCTGGTTTGTTACAGAATCGCTTGAGATAGTCATGACCCAAGCGGAGGCAAAGCCCCAGGAATATAGGGATCTGCTGTAAAGCGAATCTTGCCTTTTCCATACTTGAATTCGGGTACATTTTTAAAGGCTTCTAAAGCGCGGTTTGGCGGGGTGGAGGGGAGTTCGATGGGGGGGAGGTCGCGACCCCCTTTCCCCAGATCCCCTTGCGCAGGCCCCGGTCGCCCTCTGCCGACGTAGGGCGGAAGCGCGTGGAGAATGAACGTTTCCGAGCCTGAGAGCGGGCCAAGAACTTCGTTGGCCTGTAGAGGGCGCCTCCCTGTGTGCAGAGTAACCCACTCAGCCGTCCCTTCCTTAAGCACTTCCTGTCTGATCTCTATGGTCCATCCGATAACGCCAAGAGAAGCTCCTGGAGGTATCAATTTACCGTAAACAAGACAAGTGCGCCGACCCGGAAGAGGAAGCTGGAGCGGGGCGGGAGTAACTCGGAAGGCCGGCAGTGAGGGGGTCCGACGGGTACAGTATCTCCGAAGGCTGGCAGTGAGGGGTCCGGGGCAAATCGTAGCCATGGCGGTGGCCGTGGTCACGGCGGCAGCCGTACCCGGAACAGAGCTGGGCCCCGCGGAAGAACTAGCCAAACTCGAGTATCTGTCTTTAGTGTCGAAGGTTTGCACTGAGCTGGACAATCACTTGGGGATCAACGACAAGGATCTGGGTGAGTCCGCGGAGGTCTCTGCGCCATCTGGGTTTGGGCTTGAGGAGAAAGGGGATTGATTGTCCGAGTGTGTGGGTCAGTGTGAGTCTATCTCTTTGTCAGAAACTTGGCCCAGGCAACCTGCGGCAGTGGCCTGCTCTTGAGAGCCCTCCGGGCCGAGCTGTTAGAAACCATTTCCCAGAGCTGTCAGTGAAACCTGGAGCGGCCATCGCTTTTTTTTTTTTTTTTTTTCCACCAACAATTAAACAGCGTTAACAACAACGTAGAGCCACATGATGATGATGATGATGTTCATGGCAGACACTTATTGGGTTCTCATTACATGCCAGATATTATGCTCAGTGTTTTACTTACATTATTTTATTTGGTTTTCATACCATACCACTCTGTGAGATAGTATCTGTTTATAGTTTAAGAAAACAAGGCTCCAAGTAATTAAGTAACACCCCTCAAGATCACATATCAAATGTGAGTGAGCCTGGTCTGGAATCCAGGTCTTTTGTAGTCTGTGGCTTTAACTGTGCTCTTAACCATTCATGCTTATACTATCTCTCAAGCACCAATGTCTAGTGTCTGTCAAACATTAGACGTCTTGGGACAAACTGTATACAGGGAGAACCCAAACTGAGAAAATGGAAAAGACTGGGGTCCTACAGCTTAAGGCCACAGGCAGGTGGAGTCCTTATGAAAGCAGAGGGATGGATGGGGTCGAGAGCATGAGTGGAGGGATTTTTTGACAGGTGCAGGGATGCTTCATCCATTTTAACAGGAAGGAGGACAGAATATGGCTGTAGATGCAGATGGATTTAGGGACTGGTGGTAGGGAGTTGAGGGAGAGAGTTCCAAAATGACTGTTCTGTTTTCTAAATGAAGATGAAGTCATCAATTGGAGGGATGGAAGGGAAGGGACACATGCATGACATAGAGGGGTCAGGGAAGTTAGATGTGTGATCTTGGGTAAGATGTAATTTCTGTGAAGCTGTGTTTCTCATCTGTGAAATAGGTATGATACTGTGTTCTTCACAGGGTTAGTATATAGCACCTGTATATTTTTTTTTTTTTTTTTTTTCCTTGCGTTATGCGGGCCTCTCACTGTTGTGGCCTCCCCCATTTGCGGAGCACAGGCTCCGGACGCGCAGGCCCAGCGGCCACGGCTCACGGGCCCAGCCGCTCCGCGGCACGCGGGATCCTCCCAAAACGGGGCACGAACCCGCGTCCCCCGCATCGGCAGGCGGACTCTCAAGCACTGCGCCACCAGGGAAGCCCAGCACCTGTATATTTTAGTTCACTTTTCTCTTGCCTCCCATCAAGATGTACCTATCCTGTGTCATTTTCCCTCAGTCTTCTCTTTTAGATAATAATGAGGTGATATTCTCGTCAGTTTGCTATCTCTCTGGGTAATATGTTACTTCATTCAGCAAACCTTTGTTGAGCTAGGGGCTTAGGAATACAGTAGAGAACAAGGTAGATTCTCTCGGTCAGTGTGCTTACATTGTTTCTCTCTCTCTCTCTCTCTTGAACTACAGTGTACTAATGCCTTAGCATCTTTTAGAGGAAACAAAAAGTTATTGAGACCAAAACTGCCTCGCCCCCACCTTCGAGAGCCACTTGCACGTCCAAGTTGTCAGGTGCAATAGATCTGAGGTTCCACCAACCCCCTCCTTGGGTTTGATTAATTTACTGGAGTGGCTCACAGAACTCAGAGAAACATTTTACTAACTGGTTTATTATATTTATTTATTTATTTATGGCTGTGTTGGGTGTTTTGTTGCTGTGCCTGGGCTTTCTCTAGTTGTGGCGAGCGGGGGCTACTCTTGGTTGTGGTGCGCGGGCTTCTCACTGCGGTGGCTTCTCTTGTTGTAGAGCATGGGCTCTAGGCGTGCGGGCTTCAGTAGTTGTGGCACAAGTGCTCAGTAGTTGTGGCTCGCAGGCTTCAGAGCGCAGCCTCAGTAGTTGTGGCGCACGGGTTTAGTTGCTCCACAGCATGTGGGATCTTCCCCGGGCCAGGGAACGAACCCGTGTCCCCTGCATTGGCAGGCAGATTCTTATCCACTGTGCCACCAGGGAAGTCCCTAACTGGTTTGTTATAAAAAGATATAATTCAGGAACAGGTAAATAGAAGGTATGTGGCAAGGAGAGAGGAGCTTCCATGCTCTCTGAGTGCCCCACTCTCCCCGAATCTCCATGTATTCACCATCCTGGAAGCTGTCCAAACCCTGTCCTTTTGGGTGTTTATAGAGGCCTCACCGTATAGGCACAGTTGATTAAGTCATTGGCCATTGATGACTGAACTCAATCTCCAGCCCCTCTCCCCTCCCCAGAGATCAGGTTGGGGCTGAAAGTTCCAGCCCTCTAATCTCCTGATTGGTTTCCCTGGCAACTAGCCCTCATCCTAGTTACCTAGGGGCTTTCCTAAGGTTATCTCAGGAACATAAAAAAAACATAACTTACTCTCTGCACTTAGGAAATTCCAAGGGTTTTAGGAGCTCCATGCCAGGGATGGAGACCAAATATGTATTTCTTATAAATCACAGTATCACACTGTTAAACACAGAATTACAAAACCAGTAACATTAAAAATACTAACATTGGGGGCTTCCCTGGTGGCGCAGTGGTTGAGAGTCTGCCTGCTAATGCAGGGGACGCGGGTTCGTGCCCTGGTCCGGGAGGATCCCACATGCCGCGGAGCGGCTGGGCCCGTGAACCATGGCTGCTGAGCCTGTGCTCCGCAACTGGAGAGGTCACAACAGTGAGAAGCCCGCATACCACACACAAAAAAAAAAAAAAAAAAAAATACTAACATTGGAAAAGTGTGATAAACAATATTGTTTTGATGAAACTAAATTGCCAGAGTTGGTTTTAATAACAAAAAGGTATATATTTACTTCTTTTGTGTTTTGTTGACTTGATTCTTTTGATTTTGACCTTGATGTATTATCATTTAAATCAGTCTCATTGTTTTTCCTGTTTTCAGCAATGAGCTTGTTTTTAATTACTGATCCAGTTTTTGATACTTCAGTTAATTTAATGATGTCCTCATATAATTCTGAAAATTAAAAAAAAAAATCCTCATTAATGACGGCTGCAGTATGAATATGCTGCTGGCTGCTTTAGGATTGGCTCTTTTGAGCACTGTATGACTAGCACCATGTGACGTAGTTCTCCCTCCACATTCCTCTAAAGAATTTGGGCTCTGAAATCAGATTTCTGGATTCCAGTCCTGGCTCCACCAATTATTATTGGGTAAGTCACTGTCTCGAACCCTCAGCCTCCTCATCTGTAAAACAGGGACAATAATGGTACCTACCTGTGAGGGTCGTTGTGAGAACCATGGGGATAACCCATGTGAAACACTTAGCATAGTGCCTGGCATGTAGTAGTTGTTTGAAAAGTCTTAACCACTGACGTTGTTATTAACTTGTTATTTACAAAAAGCTGATGGTATCTGGCTTTCACTTAATGTCATAAAAAAGGTAAAGGCAAATTTCAACATGGAAGTGGTATGGTGTTACTAGTTTATAAGTTAGCTATCCAGATCTTCCATGTTATTATTATTTTTTAAGAATTAACATCCAAATGAAGGGAATTTGCTGGTGGTCCAGTGGTTAGGACTCCATGCTTTCACTGCGGAGGATACGGGTTCAATCCCTGGTCGGGGAACTAAGATCCCGTAAGTGGAGTGGTGTGGCAAAAAAAAAAAAAAAAAAAAAAAAAAAAAAAAACACATCCAAATGAAATCATTAAAATTTTCATGTGGAACTTACAGTGTGAGGCTTATTATCTCAGCCTATCATAATGCACTTTTCTCCTGAAAGTCTAGTAATTAATAAATAGTTCTAGGGCTTTCCTGGTGGTGCAGTCCCCGATGCAGGGGACACGGGTTCGTGCCCTGGTCTGGGAAGATCCCACATGCCGCGGAGCGGCTGGGCTTAGCCATGGCTGCTGAGCCTCCGCGTCCGGAGCCTGTGCTCCGCAACGGGAGAGGCCACAACAGTGAGAGGCCCGCGTACCACAAAATAAATAAATAAATAAATAAATAAATAGTTCTAATATTAGAAATTTCAAAACTAAGCCGGTTTGTAGAGAAAAATTTGGGGGAGAGGGGCAAGTGAGTCTTTCACCGACTCTGATGTTGTACTATCCAGCAGCTGCCTGGCCCTCATATATAGATTGGGTGTGTCCTTTCAGAAACTGTAGAAAGCATCCTATTTGTGCGTGTGTCCATGTGTGCGTGCATGTACACATGCACATGGGCTCATGCTCTTGGACGTGGTTGCCTCTAGAATCTATATGGTGGAGTACATATCTAGCAGTTTCATGAAGAGAGTACAGTGATCTGGGACAAGGAGGTCTTCCTCCCTTAAATACACTCAAGGGCCTGATGAGCCATTTCTTGTTTTTACTTATGAAAATTAACTAGACTATACATGGCTAATCTTGGTAGTCTAAATTCTTTCTTTACCCTTACTGAATGGTGGTCGTCGGTTTTTATGACTGTTGGATAACCCAACTGGTTTTATTTATTTGTTTATTTATTTTTTTTTTGCGGTACGCGGGCCTTCCACCACTGTGGCCTCTCCCGCAACGGAGCACAGGCTCCGGACACGCAGGCCCAGTGGCTGTGGCCCAGAGGCCCAGCCGCTCCGTGGCACGCGGGATCCTCCCGGACGGGGGCACGAACCCGCGTCCCCTGCATCGGCAGGCGGACCCCCAACCACTGCGCCACCAGGGAAGCCCTGGTTTTATTTTTAACGTACTTGAAACTGATTTCTTGCTCAAGTCTCCATTCTTCTTGTTGTAATCCCTTTTCTCATTTGCAGCTGAATTTGTGATCAGTCTTGCTGAGAAAAATACCACCTTTGATACTTTTAAGGCTTCACTGGTCAAAAATGGTGCAGAATTCACGGTATGTGTATGTAGAGAACCCTGTTTTGTTTCAATGTCACTGTTGGATTTAAATTTTGATAGTACATGCCAATCAAGTAAGCCATTAAGTGTGATGTTTTCATGCCACTAAGCAGTGGTAATGTAACCGAATTACCTGTGACACCTTTCTAGGAAAATGGGGCAGGATTTCCATTATTAAGTCCTTATGGGTGTTTACGTTCTTGTTCTGTGAATCAGGAAGTGAAAAGCAAGAGTCTAGGTTTGAGAGGTAGTTCTAAACCATGGGAAATAAAATGGTTGATGGGAACTAAATTACTTTCCCCCAAAGAGTCCCAAATATTAGCTTTCTCTGAGGCTATGTTACTAGGTTCGTGCGATATTAGGTTGACACTGTATGCTTCATTTGTCCCAGTTAGCTAAATTCAGGTGCATAACCACCCTTTTCTAAAGGACACCCCTTTTCTTAGTGTTTTTAAGCACTGATCCAGGAGCTGACAATTTTTGTTGTTTCTTTTCAAAGGATTCTCTTATTAGTAACTTGCTGCGTCTCATACAAACCATGCGGCCTCCAGCAAAGCCTTCCACGAGCAAAGGTGAGCAGAGCTCCTAGCCAAGCTTCATCTCCAGAATAGTTTAGATTGTAAGCATCCTGTAAATTGCATTTATTTCCCTTGCAGCAGCTGCTGAGCAAGTAAATGTTCTAGTAAAATTTTCAAATGACTTAAGACAAAATTAAAATGATAAGACATAACCAGTCAAATGAATACTGAATCATACTCCCCACCGCCACGCCAGGATAGTTTGTTAAGGGTTTTGTAATCAGTGTTTTTTTTTGAAAATTGAATTACGTTTATAGTAATGTATGTGAGTAATATGTAGCAAAATGTTCTGTTTTTAGTTTGATGTAAATCTAATGTTGAAGTTCTTTTGTTAACCACTAAGAGTATTAAATATATCTTTTTTTTTTTTTTAACCCCTTCATGCGCTTTAATGAAACAAGATCCAGTTGTTAAACCCAAAACTGAAAAAGAAAAGCTGAAGGAACTCTTTCCAGTCCTTTGCCAACCAGACAACCCTTCTGTTCGGGTACTGTTATCATGAGAGTATGAGGATGAGGGTGTCTGCTGTAACTGCATTTTCCCCCCTCCTCACCCCTTTTCTTTGTCTCGTTAGTTATTAATTTTAAGTTTGTCTACACTGTAACATATTTTTCAAAGTGAAAGTGGTCACTCCCTGAGCACATACTGTTGTATAGAATAGTGTTAAAGGGTTCAGAGAACCATATTTTAGGGAAATGAGATTGGGAATTATGGAAAGCAGTGATTGGGGATCTGGAACAAGTATGAAACAACTTAAGGTTCTGGAACAGATGCCTGATGTGCGAAATTAGATTTTGACATCTAATTTTAGATGTCATTTAATGTTTCAGTTTTTCTGAAATTTAATTTTTCTAATTTTAGAAAAAAAGTTTGACATCTATTTTCTGTTTATAATCATCATTTTCATGCTTTCACGGGAGGGGTGATATCTAATTGCCTTCCATAGGCTTGTATTAAGGACAAGGGGGATTTGCCAGCTGTAGAAATGATTTCCAGGAACCTTTGCTCATACCTTCTTCCTCTGTCTCAAATTGTGTTGGAAATCTCTGTCCTCTCTGGTTCTTTACATAAGTGGTCAGAAATGTAGGGGGTGTTAGATTTGTAGATGTACCTGAAGTACAGATTCTTGAGTGACTTTTCTTGTCCCCTCTTCTCCTAACTTGGCTGCCTCTGCCCCTGTAGACCATGCTGGATGAGGATGATGTGAAAGTCGCTGTGGATGTCCTGAAAGAACTGGAGGCCTTGATGCCCAGCGCAGCAGGCCAGGAGAAGCACAGAGATGCTGAGCACCGGTTTGTCCCTAGCGTCCTGTCCTTTGGAAGTTTAGGATATGGTGATAGTTGAATTCTGGACCAGCCAAGCAAAAATTTGGGCAAGTTTACAGAATCTAGATTGGCCACGTACCATACTGTTGCATCTATTTTCATTGCTCCCTGTCGAGAATGTTTATGCAGCAAATGCTGAGGTGTTCAGAAGATAGAAATCCAGGTTGAAAGAGGGTGAATATGTTTGTGGCCTCCTTTATTGGCCTGCAGGGATGTCATAGTTATTGAAACTCTGGTTCAGTTCAGCATTTAGTGGGTACCTGCCATGTACATGGCACTGTGCTGGGTGCTTGGGAAGGCAAAGATGGAATTGGGCTCGTTTCTTTTTCAAACAGGTATTTGTTGGTTTGTTAGGGACAAGACAAAGAAGAAGAAGCGGAGCCGAGAGCGAGACCGCGAGCGAGACCGAGACCGCAATAGAGACCATAAGCGGAGACACCGGTCCCGCTCTCGATCACGTTCCCGGACCCGGGAGAGGAATAAGGGGAAGTCTAGATATCGGTCCAGGAGCAGAAGTCAGAGTCCCCCTAGAGACCGGAAAGACCGAGACAAGTATGGGGAGAGGAATCTGGACAGATGGCGGGATAAGCACGTGGACCGCCCTCCCCCAGAAGAGCCTGCCATCGGGGACGTTTACAACGGCAAAGTTACCAGCATCATGCAGTTTGGATGCTTTGTGCAACTGGAGGGACTAAGGTAATGGCTGGTACTCTTCTTTCACACCACTGAAGGACAGAATTTCTTTTATCACTGGGGATTTTCACATTCTAAAAAATTACTGTATCAGATTGTTAGAAGTTGACTTTCTATTTGAAATGTCATAGAGCCATTTATTCCTTCCTCTGCCTTCGGGAGATCTGCCCTTTTGCTGGTTGAGACAGATGAGAATTTGTTGCCCCCTGGCCCCCAACTTTTTCTCTGGGAGGGTGGTAATCCTATTTTATTGTTTGGCCACCTTCTTGGAACTTTCCTCTTGAGTTTAAGGCCATTTCCCTTTGTTCATTTCCAACAAGGGTGGAAATCGGTTGGGGAAAAAGTATTTTAGGCATGTTCTAGACGTGTGTGACTCTCCCTCAGGAAGCGATGGGAAGGCCTGGTGCACATCTCTGAGCTCCGCCGGGAAGGCCGTGTGGCCAATGTGGCTGATGTGGTGAGCAAAGGCCAGAGGGTCAAGGTCAAAGTGCTGTCCTTCACTGGGACCAAGACCAGCTTGAGCATGAAGGTAGGTGAGATATCCAGCCGGTTTCCACAACTGATGGCCAGGGAAACATAAGAGGATGGCAGGTAGGCTATGTCCCTTGTTTTTGTGCCTTAGGATGTGGATCAAGAGACTGGAGAAGATCTAAACCCAAATCGACGACGGAATCTTGTTGGGGAGACCAACGAGGAGACCTCTATGAGGAATCCGGATAGACCCACCCACCTCTCCCTCGTCAGTGCCCCTGAAGTAGAGGACGACTCGCTCGAGCGCAAGCGCCTTACCCGCATTTCTGACCCGGAGAAGTGGGAGATCAAGCAGGTTGGGGCCATTTGCTCTTACGGCCATGTAGTCATTTAGCAGGTAGCATGGTGTTTAGGAGTGCGGGCCCTGGAGCATGATGGCTTGGGTGACTTTAGGCCACTTGCTAGCTTGTGATCCTGAGCCAGGTTACACTACCTTTTTGTGGCTCCACGCCCCCATCTGTAAAACAGGGCCAGTGGTGACATCGTGGGGATTAAACAAGTTAGTAGAAGTGAAGCTCTTAGGTTAGTGCCTTCCTGTGTTATGTGTTATATAAATGTTCATTCTTGTTTTCATCATTAGTAAACATAAAAACGCTGTTGGCCAGGCCACTGTGCAGATGCTAGGGCTATGAGGATCTATCATGGTTCCTACCCTTGAGGATCTCTCCTCCAGGGGAGGAGATAGATTGAGACAAATAACTGGGAAGGCTTACATATTACATAATAAGGGGTGTGCGGAATGCTGTGGAGTCAAGGGAGGGAGCAGATAACAACCCTGGGGATGAGACCCTTGAGCTGTGCTTTTGGGCACCATGTTGTCGTGCCCCCCTAGGGATGGGATATACGGTGTTCAAGGCCCTGCAGTCCTGGATCAGCAGAGGAAAAAACCTTGGTTTCCTACATGAAATCTCTGTATTAACTCTCCTACCAAAGAAGAGTTTTGATCTAGCAGGTGACAAATGCTTCCTTTTATCCTTTGGCTAGATGATTGCTGCCAATGTCCTTTCCAAAGAAGAGTTTCCAGACTTTGATGAAGAGACTGGCATTCTCCCTAAAGTGGATGATGAAGAAGGTAACCAGCCACTTAGATGGAGCAGGGTGATGGATTGGGAGGACAGTTGGCAAGCTGAGCCGTGGATAGGGTTTATTTGTAGTTTAACCCAGTGCTTAAACTCATTTGTTCCTTGGGTCTCACCACTCATCTCTCAAAGGAAAAGGGTCTCCTTACGATGGAAGCAAAAAACTTCATTTTTCTGATAAATGTGTATATATTGTTACACTTGTTGCTTATAATCAGTTTTTAGGATATAACAAGTCATAATTGTATTTTGTGGAGTGAATTTGATCTCATATTTTTAGTAATTGTTCTGTAAACCCTGGATCCGCCTAGATTACCTCTGAGTTGCCCTGGAATAATTTTTGACTTAGCCCATAGGCAATTTTTTAAAATGGTGAAATAAATTCCTTAATAAAGTGTGTATAGTTTATATAACAATAACAAATGAACATCTGTGTATATAGTTATATAGTTTATATAACAATAATAAATGATCATCTGTGTACCTACCATCCAGTTAAGTAGAACTTTACCTACCAATACCTTTGAAACCCATACATGCCACTCAATGATTAGATCTTCCTCCTTCCTCCTTTGGGTAACCACCATTCTAAATTTTGCGTTAATTATTTCCTATTTTCCTTTAGCGTTTTACTATCTACTATATGTCTATCCCTAAACATTGTATTGTTCAGTTTGTCTGTTTTTGAACTTCTTTTTTTTTTTTTTTTTGAGTCACCATCATTCTTTCCATATTTATCTATGTTGATTTATTTATTTATTTATTTATGGCTGTGTTGGGTCTTTGTTGCTGCACACGGGCTTTCTCTAGTTGTGGCAAGTGGGGGCTACTCTTCGTTGCAGTGCACAGGCTTCTCATTGCGGTGGCTTCTCTTGTTGGCGGAGCATGGGCTCTAGGCGCGTGGGCTTCAGTAGTTGTGGCATGTGGGCTCAGTAGTTGTGACTCACGGGTTCTAGAGCACAGGCTCAGTAGTTGTGGCACACAGGCTTAGTTGCTCCGTGGCATGTGGGATCTTCCTGGACCAGGGCTTGAACCTGTGTCCCCTGCATTGGCTGGAGGATTCTTAACCACTGTGCCACCAGGGAAGTCCCTCTATGTTGATTTTTATAGTTATTTTTCACTCGTTTTCATTGCTGTAGAGTTTTTCTGTATATAAATTTACCATTATTTACTCATTTTACTTTTTGATGGGCATATAGGCTGTCTTCTCGGTTTTTTTGTTTACCTTTATGAATAGTTCTATTATGAAGTTCCTGTGTTTGTCTCTTAATTCACATATGCAAGACTGTCTCTTTTTCCTAAACATGTAGGAGGAGAATTTCTGGGTGGTAGGAAATGCGTGTATTCAACTTTACCAGGGAGTCCACATTGTTTTCTAAAGTTTTTGTACCAACTTACACTTCTACCATAAGTGTAAGTGAGTTTCTGTTGCTCCACATCCTTGTCAGCATTTGGTATTGTCCATTTGTCCAACTAAAATTTTTTTTCCTAATCTATTGTGGGTTAGGAGTTATTCCATATGAAGTTGGATGGCAAATGCCTTAGTGCCATTTAGAGTGTCAGACAGCATTTTTCCACAGGCTTAACTTCTTTTGAAGAAAGCTCTGATCAGTTCTTGGGCTGGGGCACAAATGCCCTAGAAATGGCTGGTGGAGGGGGAAACAGACACCTGCATTACAGTTTTGACCTTGGGAGCTATCTTTGATAAAGATTGCTGATGCTTGTGGAAATGTATTGTTTTGGTGAAAACGATCAGTCATTTCTCTCTTTTTTTTTGGCTAATTCTTCTTTTGGGGGACTTTTAGATGAGGACCTTGAGATTGAACTGGTTGAGGAAGAGCCTCCATTCCTGAGAGGGCACACCAAGCAAAGCATGGACATGAGCCCTATCAAAATTGTTAAGGTGAGAAACACTGAGACTCTAACCTGGACGTGTCAAGTGAACTTCTTTTCCTAAAGCAGCAATTCAGTTTTTCAGAGCAGGTTACTAGATCTGAGTAAGCAGAATTCAGGCTACGAGAGGTAGTAGTGACTGTTGGTCGGGGTCCAGGATATTTTTGTTCTAGAGGAAGATTGACTTGGCTTTGTTGTTTTTGCCTTTTAAATTCTTATACTCTCATTTTAGTGTGTTTGGGAGGAAGCAGAGATAAATATGAGTGCTGGATCTACCATCACTGCCTTTGCCCAGGCTTTAGGGCTTGAGTCATTACCTTGCAGATTCAAGGGCAATTTTGAAGGGTTCACTTGAGCAATTGGGCCCCCCCAGTAGAAAGCTTGTGGCGTGCAGTGTGAGGAGAAGAATTCACTGAATAATTATGATAAAATTTTAGGTTTGGAAAAGGGTATCTAAAAGATCTCCCAGCCCAGCTGATGCTTGTAATCCGCCTATGTATCCTTCTGCAGTGTTCCTCCCACGTGGTCTTCTCATGTCTGCTTGACAATGTTGGTGAATTCACCAGCCCTTGAGGAGACCCATTCCATCCCCAGATGGATCTGATCAATAGTTCTTCTTTAGGTAGACCTGAATATGTTTTATTGAGGCATCTCATTGGTCTCGATTTTAGTTCTCAGGCCCATACAGAAGAATTCTTATCCGTTTCTTACATGTCCATTCTCTTGGGGTTCCCATCTTCAAGCCCCAAATCCCTAATTTCTTCAGTGATTTATCATTGTCCTTGTTCATTTTCTCTGAATATAGTACAGTTTATCCATTTCTTTCATGCAGTCTGGTATGTTAATATGAAATTTCTTCTGGGTGGGCCTCTTTTTAGATTTGAGTGGCTTAACATCTGAGTTTTATTTCCTGGATATTTAATGCATGCTGAGATCCCATTCTGATGTTGCTTTGTCCTCTGTTGCACTAGAACCCGGATGGTTCCCTCTCCCAAGCAGCAATGATGCAGAGTGCCCTCGCCAAAGAAAGGCGGGAACTCAAGCAGGCCCAGCGGGAAGCAGAGATGGATTCTATTCCCATGGGACTCAACAAACATTGGGTTGATCCTCTGCCTGATGGTAGGACTCTGGGAGGAGGCTGTGGACTTTTCAAAAAAAAAAAAAAAATCTGAACTTTCACATACACAGGGAGAAGCCACTGCCAGTACATAAGTAAAGATTTAGCCTTGGCTTTGGTGATTTAGTTTTTCCCTTCAGTTAGAGCACGTTTTTGGTTTGTTTTGTTTTTTAAATGTTTTCGTAACCGTGGTCAAATCATTAGACTGGCTGTTTTCTTCTGAGTAACTTAAAAATTTTTATTCCAAAGGTAATACAGCTTTGAAACTTCTCTTTTCATATAAATCTTTGTGTAGTAAATATTAACTGACTGCTGGATACAGTCATAACAAATACTTGCTGTTTGCGTTAGGTACCTGGGTATATAACTGTGAAGGAAGCAGACATGAGCCCTGTTCTTTGAGGCTCACATTTTAGTGGGGAAAGTGGATATTAACCAAATGCTACCAAATTACTGACCAAATCACGATGAGTGCTACATAGATAAGAAGTGCTACCTAGATAAGAAGGTAGTATAGTTGGCTATGGTGGGTCATTTCCCTGGGAAGGTGGAGACCCGAAGGATAAATAGGACTTGAGTCTGTCAAAGGGGCTGGCATGGGGATTGGGGAATATGTTCCAGGCTGAGGAATAGCCTGTTCTGAGGCTGTGATGTGGGAAAGAAGACCCATGTAGCTGGAATAGAGAGAATGATGGGCAAAGAGGTGGGGGGTGAGTTGTGGCTGCCAGGAATTTGGAGATGGCGTTAGGAATTAGGGCTCAATCCTAAAGTTCGCGGGGAAATGGTGCAAAGTTCTACACAGGGAAGTGGCAAGATCAGAGTTGCATTTCCAAAGGATTATTGAGGGTGCCCTACAAAATGGATTGGATGGGGCAAAAGTAGACACATGCGGTGAATTAGGAGGCTTTTATAATAGTTCAGAGGAGAGAGGTGGTGGCTTCAAGACAGAGATAGCAGAGAGGAGGGATGTACTGGAGAAATGTGATTTATTGAGTGTGGGGGGAGAGGGCAGTGAGGTAGCATGAGGATGATACTAAGTCGCCTGTTTTCCTTTGCAGCGGAAGGCAGGCAGATTGCTGCCAACATGAGGGGTATTGGGATGATGCCCAATGACATTCCCGAGTGGAAGAAGCATGCCTTTGGGGGCAACAAAGCTTCTTATGGAAAAAAGACCCAGATGTCAATCATTGAACAGAGAGAGAGCCTGCCCATCTACAAACTGAAGGAGCAGCTGGTCCAGGTGAGAAGCCCTTTAGATGTGTTGGTGGGGAAGTCAGGGTGTTTTCTAAAAAGAGGATGACATGTTTTAATTGAAATTAGCACATTTGAAGTGGCTTTTCCGAAGGGGATAGGAAAAAAAACATTTCCAAGTACTTAAAAAATATGTATATATTAGTCTACACCTTTCTTTTTCCTATGAGGAAATAAATCTGTTTGAACTAGGGATCCCTAGAGCAAGTGAACAGAGTATTGTGTTGCACAGACAAATAGCTCTGGACAATAAGAATAATGGGGATGCTTGGCTTGACATTGAGGCAAATCTTTGCTTCAGATACTTATTGCCATTTTCTGGAGATCTGATTTAAGACCACTAAACCTTCCTGAGGCAACTGAGTTTACTAGTTTCCAGGGAATCCTTTCAATGACATCTTATATATATACGATGAAGTACAAATGTGTATAAAAACACAGATATTATATGTTTTACATGAGCTGTTTGTGTTTCTGAATGACAGCATATTATATGTACTGCTCTGTATTTAGCTTTTTCCCCTTAGTGATGTAGCTCAGCATTGTTCCCTTTTTTTTTTAAGGTGCTTTGTTATGTGGATGTGCTCTGGCTTATTTAACTAGTCCTGTGTTAATAGACATACATAGGTTGATGGATGTCCTTTGCTATTATAAACAGTGTAGAAATCAGGTGACTTTAGGGGGTAAAGTGACTTTATAGATTTGGGAATGGCAGTAGAAAGGGACATTGTATTTAACTTCTTTATTTACTACTGAATTCTTTAACCATGTTTGTGTAACACTTAAAAAAATACATGTACATATATAAAATATTAGGTCTATCTGGATAGTTATGCTTTTAGCATCATCTTTGTGTTTTTATGAACTTAAGGAAACCAATAAATTAAAAAAAATTTGAGTCAGTTAAAAAGAGAATTCTCATAAAGTTTAAAGTTTTTAATTTGTCATACATGCGATTAAAATAAGAAAGAGCATTGCTCATAGAAAATCACTGTTAGCATTCGTTTCTATGCGTCGTTAAAAATAATTTAAGCTCTGATTGTCATCTTACGTGTATATACTACTGTTTCCCCTTCTTCTCCTTTAGCGTTAGAGTGTAATCAGTTGCTTTACTCCAGAGTAATGTGCGGCAGATTTTAATGACCGTGTTTATGTTTGGCTGTCTTCAGGCTGTCCATGACAATCAGATTCTGATTGTCATCGGAGAGACAGGGTCTGGGAAGACAACGCAGATCACCCAGTACCTGGCAGAGGCGGGCTACACTTCCAGGGGCAAGATTGGGTGTACCCAGCCCAGAAGAGTTGCGGCCATGTCAGTGGCCAAAAGAGTGTCAGAGGAGTTTGGTTGTTGCTTAGGCCAAGAGGTAAGTGGTTGGCGAAGCTATTCTGAAAGTGCCTGAAGAAAGTGTAAAGGCCCAGATCTCTGTCTCTAAAATGGGAGCAATTCTACCTTTTTTTAGGTTTCTCCTGAGAGAGAGGGTTCTCATGGTCATCACTGATCTGTTCAGGATCAAGTCCAAGGCAGATTTTACTTTGAGGAAATCATTGTACATCTTGGTCAAATTCTGTCTGTTAAGATTATGGGTAATAGCCTGGACTAAAATTTTGCCTGGAGATTGCAAAAAGGAGAGGTTTGTGTCTTAAGGTTTTCAGCTTCTGTTCTGCTTTAGGTGGGCTACACCATTCGATTTGAGGACTGCACCAGCCCCGAAACAGTTATCAAGTACATGACGGACGGGATGTTGCTCCGAGAGTGCCTGATTGACCCCGACCTCACTCAGTATGCAATCATCATGTTGGACGAGGCGCATGAGAGAACAATTCACACTGATGTGCTCTTTGGATTGTTGAAAAAGGTAACTAGGTGCTCTTTGGTAACCTTTATTCTACCTGTTGGGAACTGAATTCTGGGAATTGGATTTGAGTACCTGTGCCTCTTTGGGCAGTCCTTTTTAGTCAGCTACATTGCATTTCCCTTTAGACGGTTCAGAAACGGCAGGACATGAAGCTGATTGTCACCTCAGCCACCTTGGATGCGGTGAAGTTTTCTCAGTACTTCTATGAAGCTCCCATCTTCACCATCCCAGGTCGAACATACCCAGTAGAAATATTGTATACAAAGGAACCTGAAACCGATTATCTGGATGCCAGCTTGATCACTGTCATGCAGATCCATTTAACAGAACCACCAGGTAGGAGGAAAGAGCATTTTTTCCTCTTAGACCAAGTCCTAATGTAGGTATTTTTGCTCATCTTTTAAAAAATGCCTTTTAGGGAGTTCCCTGGCAGTCCAGTGGTTAGGACTCCACGCTTCCACTGACGGGGGCCCGGGTTCAATCCTTAGTCGGGGAACTCAGATCCTGGAAGCCTCATGATACGGCCAAAACAAACAAAAAAAACCAAAAAAACCATCTGTAGTTCAGACGTTTAAAAAAATGCCTTTTAAGTATTGGTCTGTCTGTAAGTCTCAGGCTTGCATGTTTGAAATGGTGGTGATGAAAATATAAATAATGGTGTGCAGGGTTTAAATGCATCTATTTAAATATAGACACAAATTTTTAAAAATTTAAAAAACCAAAAGCAAACAAATGAATAAACATGGATAAATGAAAACCTCTTGATTTGTTAGAGGTCAGAATATGAGTGTGTTTTCCATCGTTTGGAGTTCGGTGAATGTCACTTTGGCCTTTGTATGGGGCACACACACAGAAAGTCAATGCTTCTGTTCTCCTCTTAGGTGATATCCTGGTCTTCCTGACTGGTCAGGAAGAGATCGATACTGCTTGTGAGATCCTGTATGAAAGAATGAAATCCCTGGGACCCGATGTTCCAGAGTTGATTATCCTTCCAGTGTACTCTGCTCTTCCCAGTGAGATGCAGACCCGAATCTTCGACCCAGCTCCACCTGGCAGCAGAAAGGTAACATAGGCTCTTGTGCTCTGAAACCATGTGCTGTATGCAGCTGGCCCTAACGGGGATTGCTTAAGGTGTATGTGAGTCTTGTTTATTACATTTTAGAAAGTGGTCCAACCAGTTTGTTAATGAGGGTCTTGTATGTGATCCTGCTCTTCTTCCTCTCTTTTCCTTCATTTGACAGATATTTTTTTGAGCATCTACCAGGCTTTGGGGTAGACACCAGGGCTGCAGTCTGAGGACAGGCTTCTATCTGCTGTGGGACATCCACCGGTAGACAGGGCTTTAACATATAGTGTGAACGTGCTGCTGGTGTGCTGGATGCCCAGTGGGGGAGCACCCAACCCAGTGTTCTTACAGGAAGTGAGGATCTAAGCTAGTCCTGAAGAACACGTGGATGTTCATCTAGACGAGAAGGGCAGGAGAACGTGTATTCTGAATAGACAGAACAGGCTGTGATAGCCGAGGGGTGAGAGAGTGTGGCCATTTCAGGGAGCTGTGTAGTTCCAGCAGCTGGAATTGACTGTGAGTGTGTGTATTGAGGCAGTGGGAAAGGGGACAGATGGATTTTAAAATAATAGTTTTACTGAGGTATAATTTACATACCATACAATTGTCCCTTTAAAGCATACAATTCAGTACACTTTAGTATGGTCACAGAATTTTTTTAGTATATTCACAGAATTGTGCAGCCATTAATTACCATTATTAATCATTAATCAATCACCATTTATCACTACTGTTAATTTTTAGAACAATTTCATCACCCCTCAAAGAAACCCTGCACGCTTTAGCAATCATCCCCCATCCACCCCTCTGCTCAGCCCCTGGGAACCACTAATCCACTTTCTGTCTCTGGATTCACCTATTCTGGACATTTCATCATTTCATATAAATGGAATCACATAATATGTGGTCCTTGCGGACTAGCTTCTTTTACTTAGCATGTCTTCAAGGCTCATCCATGTTGTAGCATGTATAAACACTTCATTTCTTTTTATTGCTGAATAATATTCTGTTGTAGAACAGAGTGTACCACATTTTGTTTATTCATTCATCAGTTGATGGACATTTGGATTGTTTCCACATTTTAGCTATTATGAATAATGCTGGTATGAACATTTGTTTACAAGTTTTTGTGTGGACATGTGTTTTCATTTCTCTTGAGTATATACCTAGGAATGGAAGACAGATGGATTTTCTTTTTTAATTGAGATGTAGTTCATGTACAACATTATGTTAGTTTCAGGGGCACTACAAAGTGATTTAACATTTGCATATATTATGAAATGACCACCACAATGAATCTAGTAACCATCTGGAAGATAGAAGGATTTGAATAACATTAAAGAGTTAGAATGGTCAGGACATAGTGGATGCCTGGAGGTTTAGGGAAGGGCAGAGGGGAGAAGTCAGGAATGACTACCAGTTTCTGGCTTGGGCAGCTGGATGGAAGATGGTGCTGAGGAGGGAAACGAGGAGGAGCAGGTTTGGTGGGAAGACAGTGATTCCTCCTCTGTTCTGTTCCTGGTGATGGCACTTCTCTCCGGGAGGGCTTCTGCAGCTCTCTGGCAGGTAGAAGCGTTTCAGGGCCGGTAAGATGCTGGCATGGGGTGAGATGTTTTGGTGCCTCCTAACAATGATTTTTCTGAGCATTTGTGTTTTATTATCTGAACCTCTGGGTGGAAGAACAGTGGCAGTGCCAAGCTCAGACCAATAATCTTCTAGATCACATATACTGCTGCATACACACAAACTGTGAAATTCCTCTGCCGCCTTATAGTTCATTTCATGATCAGAAAAAAAATCTCCCTCTTGTTCCACATACACAAGCAGCCCATTTTGTAGTCCAGATGTCCCCGTGGAGGAAGAAAAATCTCATTTTGTACTGGCACATGTGATGCCAGGAAATCTCTGCCTTCCCAGCGTGCTAGAAAATTAAAATTGTAGTAATCAACATTGGATCTAGAAAATGAGATACGTAACCATTTGCACCAAATGAAATTGGCTTTGATTGGCCACTGCTTTTTCCTACTCCACTTCTCTCAGGTACCACTCGCTCCCCAACCTAACCCTTAAGATGAAGGCACCTCCCCTTCTGCCCATTTGAGGCCAAACTGAGGTTAAGTGCTCTCTAATGATCTAGAGAGAGGGAGAGCCACACAATCCCTTTGGGAAGGTGTCTGAGTTCAGAAGTCTCCTCTCACACCTCTGGGCTGAGCCTGGGCGGCTCAATCCAGCTATGTTCTTCTTGCCTGCAGGTCGTGATTGCCACCAACATTGCGGAGACATCACTGACTATTGACGGCATTTACTATGTGGTGGACCCTGGATTCGTGAAGCAGAAAGTTTACAATTCTAAGACAGGGATCGACCAGCTCGTGGTAACTCCTATTTCTCAGGTATGGCAGCTTCTACTGGCAGCTTTTCTGAAAATCCTGGTTAGGGCTTTTCTGAAATTTTTTATGGTTTTGTATTTTGAATTTTATTGTTTTAAGATGCTGGCTGCTTTCTTGAGATAAGAGAGATTTTGTGTTGTTTGTTTTTAATCTCTAGAATTGTGTGTCAACATTAAAAAGCCCCATAAAACTGGAACTTAAAAAAAAAAAAGAAATTGAATCCTAGCACCCTAGATGATCTAATATAAGTGGTAAGAACATATATTTTAAAGTATTGCACTTAGCCACAGATATCTGAGATAGTAATAATTCTTGAGATAATAATATGTTTCTTTGGTAATTATGGAATAATTTCCTACCTAAATTATATTTAAAAATGAATAGCCTGATCATCCCTTTTGAAGGCAGTTTGGCCACAATGTATCCGAAATGTAAAAGTTCATTTCTTTAACCTAACAGTTCTGCTTCTAGAAGTATATCTGAAAGTTAGAAATGATTGAACACATATCCAGAGGTAATGGAAGAGGATGTTCACTGAAGCATTGTTTATATTGGAGGGAACCTGGAAAAATTCTAAATGAGCTCCAAAAGGGACGTAGTTTAATAAAATATGGTAAATTCATTCCATAGACTGTTATGTGACATTAACGTGGTGGTGTGTATCTATATTTAATGGCTTAAGCACATAACTCTGATATATCGTTTGAGAAAAGTGAGCTACAGAATAGCATGAGTAGTATAATCCAATTTTTGTTTAAAAATGTGTGTGCTTGTGCACAGTGTATGTAAACGTGCCTGCGACTGAAAGCATGTTGGCGAAATGTTAGCCAGGGTTATTTCTTGGTGGTGCTGCTGGTTACTGTGCTGATGGGTAAAGCACATTTTTCTTCCCTGTACTTTTATATATTGTCTTTTTATTTTTTATTTTTTTTATTGGGGTATGGTTGTTTTACACTATTGTGTTAGTTTCTACTGTACAGCAAAGTGACCCTGGGCTATACAGCGGGTTCTCATTAGTTACCTGTTTTATACATATTATATATATTGTGTTAATATTCTGTAAGAGGTATGTATTACTTTCACAATTTATAATACCATAAGGCTGTTTTCATTTTGAAACCTTAGTAACAATAGCTAAGACTTGCAGGGTGCTTCCTAAGTGCCAGGCACTGTCCCAGCTACTTTCACATACATGAACTCATTATATTCTCAGTTGATCCTTTGTTGTAGATGTTATCATTATCCTCATTTCACAAATGAGACTGACAACCAGAGGGGTTATGTGACTTGCCTGTTACACAGCTGGTGGAGCCAGGATTTAAACCAGGGCAGTCTGGCCCCAGCATGTGTACTCTGTACAGTTCTCCTGGGGGTGATACGTGCAACTCGCAGTGATGGAGAAATTATTTATTATTATCTGCTCTCCCTGATTTGGAGAGACACCTGTAGAATGCTGTGGAATCTGCCACGGTGTGTGATTGCTGCCTGCCTTTGAGTGGGTAGTGACCTTTCATATTCCATCCTTTGGTTTGGAAGCTGGCATAGGAATTTCTAAATCCTGATACTATTTATAAGGCAGATGGTTTTGTCAGAAAACAGCCCTCTTCAGATTGCTATTCACTGTTGCCCAGCAACCTAGGGCTAACCGACATTTTTTTTTTTTAATTTCAAAAATTAGCGCCCTTCTCCCATAAGTTCAGAAATAATATTACATTATTTTGGAAGTTACCCGATAGTCCTACTACCACCAATCACTGTCACCATTTTGATGTTTTTCTTGCCCATCTTTTTTCATGTTTGTTTCAGGTTGCAATTCTAGTAGTATAGTAAGTATGCGGTTTTTAATTAAGTATTTAATTTTCCTGATTATTAAGGTGATATATGTTCATTGTTGGATATTTGATAAAGAAAATAGAACTCATCTACAAGCCTACCATTAGAATTAGCCCCAGTTAACATTTTAAGGTATTTTTTTCCTAGTTGTTTACTTCAGGTAGTTTGTATATTTGCATTAAGATTAAAAAATAAATAAAATTAGTATTACATTGTTTGGCAACTTGCTTTTTCACCTCTGTGAGTGAACATTTCCTCCTGTCATTGAGCATCTCAAACCGAATTTTTAAAACAGCTGCAGACCCATTCACTGGTATGATTAACATTATATTTATTCAGTTCACTTACATTTGGTCATCACTGTTGAGGGTGGGTTTTGTCATTTTGTTTTATGCTTTCTCATTTATGATGTGCCACACTATTTTGTGTTTTTTAAAATATTTTTTATTTTATTTTATTTTTTATTTTTTGCCTGTATTGGGTCTTCATTGCTGCGCGTGGGCTTTCTCTAGTTGCAGCAAGCGGGGGCTACTCTTCGTTGTGGTGCGCGTGCTTCTCATTGTGGTGGCTTCTCTTGTTGCAGAGCACAGGCTCTAGGCGCATGGGCTCAGTAGTTGTGGCGCTCGGGCTTAGTTGCTCCGTGGCATGTGGGATCTCCCCAGGCCAGGGATCGAACCCTTTTCCCCTGCATTGGCAGGTGGACTCTTAACCACTGCACCACCAAGGAAGCCCCTGCCACACTATTTTGAAGGTATATTTCTGTGATCTTTACCATATTTCTTCTATTCACTTGCTTGTATTTGGCCTCACTTGAACAAACTTTCCTGAAATGCTGAGTGTTGGAGAGGGGATGATAAGAGCGTTGGTAGGTAGTCTTGGAAATGACCCTAAAGGAAGTGAAATCGCATTTTAGGTTTTGCCTGTTGCTGAGTGCCCCTCTTTTAACAGATTTCCTGGGTAAAGCTGTTAAGCAATGTTTAACAGATATGTTACTTTTATATGCCCACTCCTCTAGGCTCAGGCAAAGCAACGCGCTGGCAGAGCTGGGAGAACAGGCCCAGGAAAGTGTTACAGGCTGTACACAGAACGTGCCTACCGAGATGAAATGCTGACCACCAACGTGCCGGAAATCCAGAGAACCAACTTAGCAAGCACAGTGCTGTCACTCAAGGTAGAAATCACTGTCTTGTTAGAATGCTTTGGTAGAACAGTCCAATCCTATGGCCTTAGTAAGTGAATCTCAGTTTTATGAACCTTGTTGAATACTTCAGTAACCTCATGGAACCAGTCCCTTTGAGTGGAATGCAAACGGCTGTGGTAACAGCCTCTCTACTGCGGGGCTGGGGCTAAATTGGCATGTGTGCTGTGACATTTTTTTCTTGCCATCGTAACCAGCAGGGTATTTGGTTATAAAAGGTTTTAGTTGGGAGCATTTTCAAACAGGATATTAGGAAAAATCGAATCAGTGCCAAACTGTGGACAAGCTCATTTCCCTCAACCCTTTAACTTTCAGATCCAATTCTGTTCTTTTAGAACAGAAGCAAAACCCCCAATCCAAAAAGGGGAACTGTTAGTACAGATTTCAGCCTGGCCCCCTGGGGACTTGGTTTTCATTCTGAATCATTGCTCTTCCTCTCTCAGTCCCCTGTGAGGACCTTCATTGTCTTTTGGCAGGGGGAGATGCATGAGTAATTTCCTAGATGATGGCACCCCCGCCTCCCACCCCCCGACACTGATGCTGCGCTGGAGCCCTGGCACTTCGCTGATGCAGAGTGCTCTGTTGTAATTTATTATTCATTCCCTGTAAGAGAGGCTAAAACAGAGCTTCAGGGAAAAAAAAAAAAACCTGCTCCAGTCTCTGGAGTGAGAACTCCAGTCTCTGGAGTGAGGCATCTGTGGCTCAAACTTCTGCTCCGAGCTGTGTGTCCTTGGCAAATTTATCTGCTCAGCCTTCTGCCCTCTATTCTCTCAAAAGCAGGGGCTGTTAATAGTCTCTCCTGTGAACATAAAGGAGATAATGCAGGTAAAGGCACTGGGCACAGTGCTTACTGATTGCTAACATAATTCCTTGTAGTTCTTATACAATAAGAATTTATTGAACACCCGCTGTGTTTATGGTCACCATCACTTTATGGGAAAGAAGCAGAAAGCTTAGGTCCTGCCACATCTCCCTTTATACACACTTGGATAGTGCATCGTTCACTTGTTTCTTTTAGTCATCAAATTTGGTAACAAATGTATCGAATACCCACTCTGTGCCAGGCAGATTGCAGGTGGTTTTGTGTCCACGTGTCTCACCATTGTGAACTCAGAGCAGGGACCATGTCTTAGTCACCTTTGTATCCCTGCCACCTAACATGGTACAAGGCACTTCCTAGATGCACAGGAGAAATTATGTATGCAAGAGACAGGGCAAGCTGATTGTTGTCTTTTTTTTTTTAATTATAATAAAATACACAATACATTATCACTGTAATCTTTTTAAAATGTCCAGTTCAGTGGCATTAAGTACATTCACAGTGTTGTGCAGCCATCACCACTCTCCATTTCCAGAACTTTTTGATCATCCCAAATCGAAACTCTGTACCCATTTAACTAAACTATCCCTTTTCCCCTCCCTTCTGCCCCTGGTAACCATTATTCTACTTTCTGTGTCCATGAATCTGCCTATTCTAGGTACCTCAGATAAATGGAATCATAAAATATTTGTCCTTTTGATCTGGCTTATTTTACTTAGTATGATGTTTTCAAGGTTCATCATGTTGTAGCATGTGTTAAATTTTCATTTTTAAAGGTGAATAATATTCCATTGTATGTATATACAGTGTTTTGTTTATCCATTCATCTATTGATGGACATTTGACTGGTTTCTGCCTTTTAGCTATTGTGAATAATGCTGCTGTGAACTTAACGTACAAGTATGTGTCTGAGTCCCTGCTTTCAGTTCTTTTGGGTATATATCTAGAAGTGGAGTTCTGGATCAATTCGAAATTTTCTGTTTAAGTTATTGGTGAATCACCAAATTGTTTTCCTCAGCAGCTGCACCATTTTACATTCCCACCAGCAACATATGAGGATTCCTATTTCTCCATATCTTGCCAACACTTGTTATTTTCTTTCTTTTTTTTTTTTTCTTTCTTAAATTATAGCTATAGCCATCCTAGTGGGTATGAAGTGGTATCTCATTGTGGTTTTGATTTGCATTTCCCTAATTACTAGTTATATTGAGTATCTTTTCATGTGCTTGTTGGCCATTTTAATATCTTCTTTGGAGAAATGTCTACCTTTGCCCATTTTTAAATTTTTATCTTTTTGTCATTAAGCGGTACATACTGTCATTCTGAGAGAGTGTTTTTTAAAGTTTCCCGAGAAAGTGTACGCTTTTTATCAGTCTTGAGTTTTGTGTGGCGCATTCCTGGAGATTCCTGCT